AACATGAATTAAGGCAAATCGTAAACGTCCATTCGCTGTATTCATATAAAATGTCAACGAGGGTACATTTATCACGGAGCAAGTTCGAAATAAGCGTAAATCGTGCAACTGCATACCTAAAATTGAATATTAGCTGTAGCAGAAGGAGGTACTGGTATAAGATAGTGTGAGACAAGGGAAACGTCTAATTACATGGGAGAAAAGATCCTTCGAATTTTAATTTTTTGCATAAGAAATGACTACAGCTAAAATTAAATTAAGAAACCCAGTGCAAGCTGTGCTCATCAAAGACATTAGCAGCTAGATCAACCGCGCAAATTTATGCTACTCCTGAGTTCCAAGACAATTTATGTCACCCTTATACGGATTGATATTCCGAGGGCATCGAAACGACCAAGCTCCAGATTGGTGAAGCATTAATGCATCTTACGTTCTTACGTTCTCGTTTCACTTAAAACATGTCGAAAAGAATGTCTTTCGAAAGGCTTATCATAAATAAAAATGTAATGAAGATATACATTCCAACGATTATCGACATCACATTTTTTTTGAGCGTAAGATTTTCAACATAATCCAGCCTACCTTTCAAATGTAATGTACTGTATACGGTTTGAAGGTATACCGCTGTGCGGAGAAATTAAATGAATATTCTTGAAAGAGGTGTAACCGACATAGTAAATAGTTGTTCATCCAGTGACTGCATGTCTATCACTATATTTTCAAGCTAGCTTTTTAGTAGCTAACCACAACGTTATACGCTTGTACTTATATGTTTGAGCCGTTAGCTGGGTTTCATTTACTATGTGATATACATATTATCGAGTCTTTTGATTATTTTATTCTAATTATTATTTATTTTGTATTCGTTAGATCATTTATTCTGTTTAATTTCTGTCAGTGTTTCCTTTAGTCGTGGCAGTGATTAACGTTGGTAATAATATTCTTTGAAATGTGACATTGTCAAAAAAAGATAGTTGGCCACCGTTAAAATGTCGGTCTTCCTTCACTTTCGTAATCGATACGCCTTTCTTTTTATGAAGGTGGTACGCTACTGATCTTCGCTTTTATGCCATCAGCAAGGTGTGTCTTATCGTAAAGGCAGAATGCAGCA